GCTCCTTTTTGAAGTCGGTAGAAAATGGCAGCGTTTCGTAAGTGTAGAGAATCTGAGATTCTTTTTACAGGAAGCGGGGTATTCCATTTTTGGATTTTAGTGGTGACAAGGCATCTGCATTTTGATTCTTAACCAAGGATAGATGAAGAGTCAAATAGGTGTCGCAAATCGAATTGTGGTGTTCCTTTCTGAAGTGTATAGTTAATTAACAGATGCTGTATAATTCCATACTATGAGCATGAGGCAAACTTATTCCTGAAAGGTGACAATGCATCTGAAACCTTCTTGGTTTGAAGTTGGTTGCAGGTATTCATGGACTGCAGTAGCCACTTACCATCAGGTGAACTGTAAGTTCCTTTGTCACTACAATTCTATAAAAAATAGAGCAGTTGCAGTGTATTCTGACTGTAGCACGAATGGGTCAGCTCGACCGGAGAGAGTCGAAATTCAGCGTGAAATAGCAACATACGATGCTATGGTTTGTATGGTTAGTGTAAAGGACCGGTGAACTTTTTTACTGGTAACATTCCATCTTGGTCCTAAAGCGTGATCGCATTTCGATTCTTCGAGGGCGGGTGATTTTGTAATGGACCACAGCATCTACTTATCGTCAGGTGAAATGTTTGATAGTTTGTCATCTTGCTATTATAAAATAATTTTTGTTACTCAATCATGCATAAACGGCTAATATGGCACACAGTTAAACAAACCATTTACGACTATACTTATAAAAATTTACGTTAGCTTAAGAAAATCTCTTTCTCTTTTATTAGTGAAAATAGAAAGAGTCAAATCTATAAAATATAAGCTGACCATACAGACGTTGTTCTGCCCTCTCCGACGACCCTGTGTCCTATAAAAATTCTTAAATTCGTAATAAAAAATATTGATGGTCACTTATAGGGATAAAAACTATCCTATCTCTCAAGTTGGACCAAACTGCACACATTGTGCAAAATTTCATTGAATTCAGTTCAGTAGTTTAGGAGTTCATCGCGGACAAACAATGTGACACGTAATTTTTATATATAAAGATTAATAACTAGTTTAATGAAACGACAAGATTAATAAAAACAACTCCCGGAAAATATTCGTAAAAGCTCCAAGCCCCAAACTCCAAATGGGTTAAGTTAATACCAACTAAAAAAAATTGTGGTGACGTAAGGTAAATTACATTACATATCATTACATATCATCCCGTAGGTGGCGGAAGAGGCGATAGAGGTATTTATACATGGTATAGCCATGCTGCAGCTATATTAATAGTATAGTTGTAGCACGAATGGGTCGGCTCGACCGGGGAAGGACCACACTCTCACAGAATACCAGCGTAAAATAGCAGATTAATGCTACTGTGTTTCGTATGGTGAGTGTAGAGAACCGGAGACCCATTTTACTTGAAAAGAGGCATTCCATCTTAGCCCTCACGGGTGACAACGCATCTGCATTTTAATTCGCAAACGAAGATAGATGTAAATGTCTATGGGTTACAGCAACCACTTACCATCAGGTGGACTGTGTGCTCGTTTGTCACCCTATCCTATAAAAATTTTTTAATGAAGCGATAATTATCGATTAATAAAAACAACTCCCGGAAAATATTCATAAAACCTCCAAGCCCCAAACTCGAAATGGGTTAAGTCAATACCAACTAAGAAAAATAGTGGCGACGTAAGTTAATGACATTACATAATATCATCCAGTAGGTGGGGAAAGAGACGACATAGGGAAACTGAAACAGGGGCAACACCTACCTGATAACAATTCAATAGTATTACTATTGAATTGTAAATAATAAACTCAATAGTATTGAGTTATTAAACAACAGAAAACTCCAGCTAGCAACCGGTATGCCATGTAAAAATTTCCTCCCAATGAGGCAATTAATAATTGTGGCCTATGTTCAGCAATAAACTTTCAACAGTATATAATAAATATATGATAAAAATATGCCAATTCACAGTGAAATTTATGACATACATAGATAGTTCTTTATATCTGTAGCACCAAACTGTTCTTGAAGGAATGTTACTATTTTTAACAAGCTTTTATTAGCTTGACCTGTATGTATGTATATATTTATGTACGTATATATGTATGTGTGTACTATCAAAGTCAAAGTTTTAAAAATACGTTACCTCCACACTAGGATTTTTTCCTGTATCGTGGGGGCAGTTTACATACATAAATTTCACAAGGACAAACATCCAGACTTGGAACAATTATTTGTAGGCCATACAAATACTTGTTCCACGCGGGATTCGAACACGCGGCCCTTAGCGCAGCAAGTCATTGCTAAGCCACAGCGCCACGAAGCCGTCAGTTCTACGTAATATCTATGTTCATTATGTATAAAGTTACAGCCTATATACGTTCTATTCCTGGATAGAGGCCTCATTTCTAGTGGCTTTTGGGACAAGGAAGTGTCCACAGCACTGACATTATACGTGTAGGCGGACTTTTTTTACGTGGTACAGCCATGCTCCACCTATATTATGTTTGTAGCACGAATGGGTCGGCTCGACCGGGGTAGGCCGTGCTCTCACAGAATACCAGCGTAAAATAGCAGTATGGTGAGTGTAAAGAATCGGAGACCCGTTTTCGAACGTAAACTCTTCGTTTTGAACCGAATTGCTCAAACTTGGATTCATCGGTCCAAAGAACTTTTTTAAAATCTTCTTCAGTCCAATCTCGATGGGCAAGGGGCCATTACATCCGTTTTTTCTTGTTTTGTGGCCTTAGCAGAGGTTTAGGCCTTAGCACCGTTCGAAAGGTAACACGACCATACAATTTCGCATGTATCAGTTGCCGTTTTACTGTAGTCAATGATAAAGGTTTAACTCTGGTTTTGTTTACTTCAACGAGAATTTCCGGTGCTGTTAAGCATCTATTTTACTTGCTGGTAAAAACAATGAAATGATCTTCACATGACGTGGTAGCTCTCGGCCTTCCCGAGCGTGGACGATCTTGAAAAGTGCCTGTATCGAGTTATTGTGCCATGAACACAAATCTTCGATAACTTCAATTGTAAAGCAATCTCGCGTTCGGATTTGCCTTCATTGTGTAAAACAACGATAGCAGAATGCACTTCACTGCTAATTTCGCATGCTTTTCCCATTTTAAGACGTCTTCACTAGAAACCACAAGTTTAGACGAATTGAGATTGTTTGTGAACAAAACCATGCAAAGTCAGGTAATAATAAGTCGGAAACACGTGTTTTTAGAAGCTAAATAATCGTTATTATTGACCAATGTGAAACAAAGGAAAGCAATTAGTTATTAGCCCATCATAAATATATTATTACGACTACCACCTGGCTCTAACGCAGCGTTTGTCGATGTTTGAAAACAATACATGTTTATTGTCCAACTTTTTTTTTATAGGAAAAAATTACCTTTTTAGATATTCGATATAAACAATAGAATATGCAGATGTACATTTCTTTTATTTATCTTACGGGATTTCGTTACAATTTATAATTATGTTGTTTAAGTGTGATCTTAAACTTTATCCGAAAAGAATCAAAATGCAGATGCGTTATCACCCCTGAGGAAGAAGATGGAGTACCTCGTTTCTAGTAAAAAAGGGTCTCCGGTTCTCTACACTCACCATACGAAACACAGCAGCATTAAGCTGCTATTTTAAGCTGGTATTCTGCGAGAGCGTGGCCCCACCCCGGTCGAGCCGACTCATTCGTGCTACAACCATAATATTATGTATGAATGTAATGAAATTTGTGTAACTGAAATTTCGCAGACATATATGGGACCCATGACAAGACAATAACTTAGTGACTATGACAGTATTATCACTGCGATTATCACAGTTTTAAGTTTTTTTTTTAAATTCTTATAATATTAATTTGACATTCTTTCGTTGCAGTATTAATCAATACAAAAATATATGATGTATAAAACCTATTAATAGTTTGCTGATGCCCTTTACTCACAACAGTGTAAATTGGCCTTGTATTAGCAACTAGGAATGAGCCCAGTTTCGATTTCTCTATACGTTTGTTACTGCAACACTCGGTAATGATAATCTGTTACTTTTTTTTTAGTTAAGCCAGTAGAGACACGTTATGAGCTGACTAGTGGCTGTTGTACGTAACGTAAGTAGGTTGGCTAGAACCAGGAAATAACGCGTTCGCAGAATTTTATCCAGTATCCAGAGACTATGTCGAGCTTAAACTCGAACTGTACATTGTTGAAATTTGTGGAGTGTAGTCATAATATAGACTAGGCTCAAATTTTTACATTGAACAGTTTGAGCTTAAACTCGAGATTTTTTCTGAATGATTTTAACGTGGTAGAGCTAGAGCCATGCTACAACATATTATGGTTGTAGCACGAATGGATCGGCTCAAATGGGGAAGGATCATGCTCTCACAAAATACCAGCCTAAAATAGCAACTTAATGCTGCTGTGTTTCGTATTAGTATGGTTTTTGTAGAGAACCGGAGACACTTTTTTAATAAAAACGGGGCATTCCATCAGGACTAACCTCAGGGACGACAACGAATCTGCATTTTGATTCTTAATCGAGGATAGATGTGAATGTCTATGGGTCACAACATCCATTTACCACTTTTGACTCGTGCTCGTTTGTCAAACTGATCCTACAAAAAAAATAGCCGTCATAGGCCTCTAGACCATATTATGTTGCACAAATTGTGATATTAAGAAGTTCGAGTCTGAATTCGAGATTTTCTTGTTCTTATTTTCGAAATATTATTGGTGTGGTGAGTGATCGATTCAACTCAGTCATCAATTTTAGACTTCAGATGTGACAAGTACTTATATCTATATCCCGTTCCACGCCAGCCGCTAACCACCAGGTGGCCTGCTTGTCACTTGTCAAAGTTTCTAGAGTACGTTTATATTAAGAATAAAATAAACATCTCTATTCGCGACTGTACCGCATAAGTGAACCGAAAATGTACCTACGTGATATAAATCCAGATTAAAATATAGCTGAACAAATAATTGTTTTTTATTACCTGATCGTTCTGATCGTGAGTCAAATACAACCAGCCGAGTAATGCTTGGGGGCAGTTTTCAGTCTTGCCACACCACTGGGGCAGATCGGCGCCAATGGCGGTTGGTGACATCGCACCATCAGTGCTGTGACTTGCTGAACACAAACCGTATACACTTCACCGATTCACACGTTTGTCACTATTCGATTTATAAAATGTTTAATTGTTTAGTTGCACGAGTCTCAGGGCATGTCAGAGCAGGCGGCCGGGCGAGTTGGTATTTTTGGATCGCAGGCGACCGGGATGCGCGCGCGCCGGTTACACTGTGACTAGCCGTAGCCGCCGCTCCTCAAGACGGGAGATGTTGGGAATAGGCACAGATGGAAGTGTAGCGCGATTGTTCTTGTCGATATATTAATCGATGTTTTTAACTAGTAATTTTTTTATTGGTTTTTATAATTATAAAATATTTAAATGGTTTTAAATAATTTAAGTATGTTGTTGTCTTTATCTTTATATCTTAGTATTTCAACTTCGTAAGTACTTGTTCTAGCTTATAAATGGAAATAATTGTCATTTGATATAATATAAAATAGACATGCACCTCGAATGTCCATCAAAATTGTCGCAGATATTCGAAGTTATAATAATACTTAATATTTATTTGATATTATTTATACCACCAAATAATATTTCCAGTCATTTATTTTGTATTAACCTTTTTTTTTATGACAAGTAATGTAAATATAAAACAAAGGTTATATTTTTTATTTTAAAAAAAGCGTTACCCCCACAGTACAATTTTGTCCTGTATTGTGGCAAACATTAGCCCCATCTGCATCGCGGAGGTAGTTTACAATCAATTGCACAAGGATCCCAGCCTTGACAACGAACAAACGCGCTTGTTCGGTGCGGGATTGGAAGCCGCAGCGCTGCAGCGCCACGTCCTAACGCTTAGCTGCGTTATCGAGCCCTTTATAATACAGTCATTTATAATAGTTATATCGATTACGTCAAATTTCTAAAAGAAAAGTCATATAAGTAACAGGCCATCTTGTAAGCTTTTAAGTACACTCCTGAATATTAGCCTTCTCAAGAATGAGATATCGAACATGCATTTTGAGATCCCATAGTCACGATGCAGGCCAAGTAGGTTGGTGAGTTCAGTGCCAAGAGTTTGTTCCCCATCACCAGTCTGTGATATCGGGATTAGAAGTTATTGAATGAATTTTTCGCTTACCTTCAGTATTCAGAACTTATTCCGTTAAACCATCAGATTAATTCAATAAAAATGATGTTGTCATACAAGGGAAAAGTTGGCATGTGACCCGTGCGCTTCATACTGTAACTTTACCAACAGTGCGGAAATACTAAGAATTTGAGTATATTTATACAGTTTGCTATATTGTCGATGTTTTTATCGATATGACAATAACAAAACCGTGTCACAGCCCTACGTGAAACATGTGGGCGCACCCGAAGCGCGAGGACTCCGTGGAGTGCGTGGAGCAATATTTTCGTTCAGCCCCCCTACCACGATATCCCGATCGTTGTCCAACAATCAACATTCAACGTTCCCTAACAAAACGATACATTGTGACTAAAGAAAACACAGGAGCATGCTTCCATACAATATGCAAAAGTGTTGAGTCGTATTATTATATACTTATATTTAATTAATTAATAAAGCAGTGTTGTAGCTCAGGGATCTACTAACCTAACCTATGGTTAATTTAGTAGTATTGATATACTGGTAAGTCACGTGCTTGACGGTAAAGGAATTCATCATAATGAAACTAGAGTAATAATGTCCTCTATCTTTATAATAAAAGAAACTAAAAACCAATATTATCAAACAGTTTTACTCCCCGACGTATAGTGCCAAGGCGGCATTTCCTCGCTGAATGGCTAAACGTAAGGCAAGAAAATAACACGTCTTATTTTCTCCTGCGGATCGACAAGTCACGGATTCAGTTGTCTACAACAAAACATCAAATGGCATAAATATATAGTCATCTCCCAGAAACTCATGTTTGCGCCATTCACTCAGTTCAGCCCGCTCTGATATTTGACGTGACACGTTCCATACACTTTCATTTTATGCGACTGGTACGTGCACATGCTCTACCTATATGTCACACGTACGCATTTGATGAGCTCCGAACGTAATACGTAAATAAATCAAAGTCTTTAATGTACTAATAACATAAAGCTTTCAGGTAAATAACATACAAGATCCCCTTTTACTAGATAATTGACTTTAATACATTGCAACATGAGTAATTATCGCATGCTTATTCCAAGCTCTCAAGTACCTACTTCTGCTGAAGTTGAAAAATAATTTTAATATTGTTATTTTAAGATATTTATGTGACAGTTTAAATTACGAGCTAAGAAATCGGAGACCGTAATAATGTATAAAAAGGGCATATAAGTGACCGTCTGAAAGAATTACGGAGTTTAAAAACGAAATACTCAAGCAGCTGTCAACAAAACGAAAATGGCGACGACATAAATAATCGGCTCAAGTGGCTTCCAGACCAATGATTACAAATCATAAGTGACGGTGTAGAGCGTTAATATTTTAATTGATCTCAACTTTGTATTATATACTGGTACAGCCTATCAAAAGTCCATTGCTGAAAATAGGCATCCCCTTAAGCTGCTTCATAGTGGGGATATTTGGCATAGTTGCCACGCGTGGCAGGCGGATTAATTGTTTTAGATGTTATCTGCTGCACATCTTCGGGTTTGTTTCCTTCTGTCGCTTCTTACGATACCCACAAGACTATTAGGGACAGTGGACATTCTTACACCGCCACTACACGGCAATCTGGTCTTCAAAGACAGGGTCTTTTAAAGACTATAAAAGCTTCAACTCTCCTATCCGCTCCTTCAGCTCGAACCGAATGATTTTCTGTTAGAGAACTCTGCTTTGTTCCTTCAGGAACACTCAGTTCAGGATCAATTATAATTGTTCCCATTATCTTGTCACCTGGAGTACCCAAGTGATTAGAACATGTGATAATTTGTCTAAAGTACTTTTATATTCTATTAGTATTATATAATAATTTCTTAGTAGACACAAGGAAATGGGAATGTTTAGAATAGAGTTCATTAATTTAATTCGGCCATAATTTCGAAATTAGTAATTTAAAATTAAATGGTCTTTGACTATCTTAAATCTAAATAATGCCACGTTAATAGATCCTATCCAGGCGAAGCCGGGGCGGGTCGCTAGTTTTTTACATAATTCATGCAGTTAAATTCCAACCTTCGTCCGGTATACAATTTTCTTGTAACACACAAAAATAGAGTGAATGGGGCTCTACACTCTATTGTGGGTAGCTACGGCAATTCACAGTGCTGTTTTAGTCCCTACTTTAATGTATGGTAGTGAAAGTTGGGTTTGGCAGAAGAAGCACGAGAGTAAAATAAATGCTGTAGAAATGCGGTCATTATAGAGTATGCTACGAATGAATCTGACTGACAGGGAGAGAAATTGTTTGATAAGAGAAGAGTGTTGTTTACAAGGTGATGTTGTGACCAGGATTAAGAATGGAATGCTTCGGTGGTTTGGTCATGTAAAAAGAATGAATGAGGAAAGAGTGACAAAGCAAATTTATGTTGCAGTGGTGAACGGCAGAGCCGGAAAGGGACGCCCTAGGCGAAAGTTTAACGACCAAATTGGCGATATATTAAAAATGGGTCAAATTAAGAGTACCCTTAACCGATGAGCCTGTATGCGTAGGTATATGGATGTAAAGGAGGCGAGAGAAGTGTGTCAGGATCGTGCCAAATGGACGTCAGTAGTCTCTGCCTACCCCCTGGGTAACAGGCGTGAGTGTTTTATATTTACATATTTTTATACATAAAAATGCCGATGTGTAGTTATATTAATTAGTTTTGCAGCAGTAAAAGTGTCTTCTTTTAAAAGGACACACGGCAAGCCATCTTTAGATCGTGTATCTGCCTGTCAAGCATGACTGACGCTAGTCCTTCCTTCAACTGGAGTGTCCCAAGTCCAGCATTGGGCTTTTGTGGGCTGCTTAAGAAGATTTTCTTATAGAATAAGGGTAACAAACAAGCACGCAATTCACCTGATCGTAAGTGGAAGGAGATGGAGTGCTTCGTTTTCAGTAAAAATAGTCTCCGGTTGTTTACGTTCACCATACGAAACACAGCAGCATTAAGCTTCTTACTAACTGGTATTCTGTGATAGTGTGGTTCTACTCCGGGCGAGCCGACCCATTTGTGCTACAATCATAATATTGCTGCAGCGTTTCTCTGTCACGCAACAAAAATATTTTTGTATACGTAAAAAAAATATATTTATGATATTATTTTGGATAAAATATATGTTCATTTCATTATGTATCAACAGTTTTCGTTTGAGATATTGTACACATACATAGGACTTATTTGTGTAATGTAAAGTTGTTATTTTGACCTATTTCTGATACTGCGATATCTTTCGATAAAGGACATCAGTGCTTTTTCATACAGAACGTACGAAATCAGTGTAGAAATTATTACTGTGTCGCAAAATAAACCTTAAGTCCATTTTCATAAAATGAATTTTACTCTGACAACTTTCTATGTTTATGTCTAAATCGTTTTAGCGAATTTAAATGGTACTTGTTGCTAATAAAGTTTATTTTACAATACACGATGGAAATATTTGTTCAAGACGGCTGTTATGAGTGAGCCCTTAATGCAAAATACATTTATTCATACAATACAGTTTTAATAAAAACAAGAAATTAAATGTCAAGTGAACTTTTTTACGCTAACTTTCATTAAAGACTGATATAAACTATTGTACAACGATTACTGCACGAAAAGTGGCCAAAATTGTAAAACACTAACAACTAGCCCCGGCTTCACTTTTGTGCAATCTACCAGTATGGATCACAAAATCCCAGCATTTCTCTACTATCCCTACACATTTATATATATATATGTAACCCGACTAAATAAATTCTATAGTAAATGATGTCGAAAACCGCATTTAAAATCATTTACATATTTTTAAAAGTTTTAGAGCTGTTTTTCAATCTTCATATTATTTATTCATAAAAGTCATCCGAATGATAAATTACAAATTACAATATATAGACAAATTGAAAATT